TACTGGGTTACAAAATGGATGGACAGAATTTTTTTCCCCACATTTGGAGTGTTTATGGAGGCAGTAGAGACCCCCATGGAAGCACAAACAAGTGCCAAATGAGAGTTTTTTACAATCTGTCATCTTTACCTAATCATTAAAATTTGTATGTGTCAACTCAAGCCTTTAAAAATAAATTATCTATTTGTAAATGTTATTATTTACTATTATTTGTTCATCATTATCTAAAACCTTGAACATTTATATGTAAATGACTTACTAATGACTTGCTAAACACTCATAAATGTTTAAAAACAAAACAATAATATAGTGGTACTGAGAGGGGTGATATATTTTGGCTGAGCGGTATTGCTGTAGTGTGATGTCGCCGACCCAGATCAGATCCAGAAACTACAGCGGCAGAAAACCAGCATCAGCATTGCATTCTCTCCATAAAACTAACCCAACGACCATCAAAGTCTGAGGAGTCACGTCGTTTGTTGATGTGGTTTTTTAGCGGCAGTGATGGCGGCATGGTGAAAAACTACCCTGAATTGTATGTTGTGCCCCCTAGTGCCAGGAAACTACACACTGCCACTCGAATGTGAAGATCAGGCTGAAAATGAATCACCTTTGTGACCACGGTAGGCCTCTTGAATCAGACTGGCATTCAATGATTACAGCTTCCTGAAAATGTCATTAAAATCCACTAAACAACAATGTTTTCCTATGACAAATGATTGGATAGCTAATCTGTCAAGATGATGGAGTTGTATTGTGTGTTTTCCACAATGAGTTGACCAGGGTGGCTATTTTATTATGGTAGATAATGACCATCAGATATTTTGTTAACAGACACGGATAACTAAAACAGCTTATGGGCTCGACACACGGGAGGCGACTTCGCCTCTCCTCCATTCATTTTCAATCAGACATGCGCGACAAAGCGATAATCACGGGTCTCCCTCCTACCAAGCGAAACGCGAAAAACGTGCGTGTGAAATTTTGCGCTCGTGCACGTGTCGTGCACAGGCGACCCAGCGACACGATCCCAGAAAGTTGAAATATTTTCAACTTTTCATCGCCATCGCTCGGACGAGGACCAATCAACGGAGGTTTCATTCACTGACCAGTGAGCGGACAGGATGCTCCGTACATCTCCGAGCAAACATGAAGGAGGCCGTGGCATTGGTCCCTCATTCTCCGTTTCTTTCTCTGGTTTGTAATGTGGGATGAACCCATTCTCATTTTTTTTATGTAGTAAAATCAGAAGTAAGACTTCTCATAACTCTAGCAGCACCTTGTGAAACATCATATCTACCAATTTTTTTATCTCTGAACCGCTTAAATAACCTTAATTCCCTCCAATCTGACACAGCCAAACAAAACAACAGAAGATTAGATTTCGCCATGGAATAGAACTCGTCGACGGCTTTGCCGCTGCCGCGGGTCGCCTCCCGTGTGTCAGGTAATAAAAGCAACAGTGACGAATTTCGCGCTGATCGCGGTCGTTTGTCGCCTCCCGTGTGTCGAGCCCATAAGAGTTGACCTAAAGACAAATTTTGAGAAGAAACTTGCTTGTTTCTCAGCATTTAGGGATTAAATCTGAAGAATCCTTGTCTACTACCAGGCCAGGTTTCAGCTCAACATCTGTAGAATTATTTGACTTTGAAATATTTTTGTGTCTGTCAATGTTGACAAGAAATGGAAGCCATCTTGAATCAGGTTGACATAATTTTTTTTGGCTTTTTCACATTAGCATTGTGTCCCTAAAATAGTAAAATAGTAATTTCTTATTTATGTTTGACATTTAAAGGTGGAATATGGAAAACATGCACCAAAGCGACATCTAGTGTGTGAAGATTGTAGTTGCATCAATAGAACAAGGTTTCCAGGTTCGCAGACTTTTTTTGTTTGGGTCCATCTATTAAGGCTTCACCTAAACTCACCCTGGTTGTAGATCTTTTGTGGTCGCTCCTCTTCTGAGAAGGATAACGACATCTTCTGGGCTCAGAGCAGCATCTTGACTTGCCAAGTTCGCCATCTCTGTGCCGAGCAGACTGCTTGGCAACGCGCAACTGTGCCCTCTATTGGCTGGTAGAGGTAAACACAAACCCAGTGTTGAATTATAATTTAAAGAAAATAAAGCTATTAACAGAAATGCTGTACCTTCATTCTAAACACCTCCAAACGCCACATGGAGGTACTATTTTTAAATATATAGCTTTTTATTAAATTATTGTACCAGGTAAAAAAAATAATAATTCATCCCTCCCCCACCACGGCAACACCAAGGTTGGAAACAATGAGTCACATTCAGAGTCAGAATTCCTCATTTTATTGGAACAAATGGCCAAGTCACTTCACTGAGATTTGATTCCAGGGTTCGGTTGTCATGGGTACATTTTAAAAGCAGTAATGACCACTTAGATTTCCCTGGAAATGTGTTTTTTAGGGTTTAGACCCAGACGTTGTCACAGTGTTTTATTTGTATCACCTTATTGCAACTTGGGATGCGCTACACAGACATTAAAAGGCTTGTAGAGCAGGAGCAGAATTGGAAATGAACCTAGGAAACATCCAAGCAACTAGCCACTAGGGGGTGTTTAGAGCCGTTTACCTTTGAACGTTAGTCACCTGTTTTTGGTGACATGTTGGGTGATAGAAGTCTACCACTCACACTTTGCGTTTTCTCCTGATTACAGCTTGAAAACTTGGTTTAGTTTCAAATTCAAAATACAGAAAGCATTTCTCAAACCCCAGTTATTGACCTCAAATTGTTTTGGTGAATTAAATATAAGCAAACCTCAATTAATGTAGACAAATTTTCTTTTTTTTTTGTTGTGTTTTATTTGTTTCAGACATTCAGTGAGCACTTTAATATGCTTTGATGCCTTGTAAACACATTTAATTCCTGATTAAGAGCAGCCCTTTCAGACGGGATCGTTTTGAGCGTATATGATACAGTTTTGCGCGGAACTAAAATGGTTTTTGTCTTCTTCTCTTCCCCCTCCTGTAATTTGAGGAAGCACATGAACAATGCATAAAAAAAACAAGAATTATGTGTTAAATATTTTAAACTTCAGTCAACCGTGCAGAGATCGCCGTCACAGGACTAGGCTGCCGTTTTTCCTGCAAAGCACAAACTGCTGCTATTGATGCTTTCATTTGACAAAATTGCCCAATTCAGAACTTGATTCTTGGTTTAAATGAGGAGGATGTGATCAGCCGGAGACGAAGGCTGTCTGAGAGGAGAGAAAGATGGGAGAATGTAAAAGAGAGGGGAATAAAAACTGAAAATGAGGAGCGAGAAGCAGAGCGACAGAGTGAGTTGTGTCAAATGGATACATGTCAGAAGGAGCTTCATCGGCTGTCTGAGCTGAGCGCGTCCCTCCCAAAATGCCATCTGTAAATCGCTGAGGCCTTCAGCCAGCCTCCCTCAGCGCTCAAATGAGATTACAGACCTCTGCAACACTCCCAGTCTGTGTGGAACAGCGTTCTTCTGAGCCGAGTGTGGAAGGGCACTATTTGGTGGCTTAGAAAGAGAACGACGTTACTCACACCGCCGAACGTGGAAGATTGGTGTATTTATGTTTCACTCATCCTTAATCTAGACCTAGATGTTGCAGCATAAAGGCACATTTACAGGATATGTCTTTTAAAGATCCTGAATGAGAGGTGATGAACCTAGGTTGCCACTGAGACTAACAACAACATCAAAGTATTTTTGCTAAACAATTATGTTTAGAAACTTGTTGTATTAGGTTGTATCTAAAACAACTGTAGGTGTAGCGTCACTATATTATTGTAATCAAAACACATATAAGCCCACCCCAGTGCTATCTGGTCCAGTGCCTGTAGAAACACCAGCCTAAAGCAAAAGGTCCATGTTCTTCCTGACTGACTCCCTAAAACAAACAAAATGTCAATTATTGGCCTGCAAATAAACATTGCAAAGACACTAATAATATACAATAACCAATGAATAAATTTGAACAAATTTGGAATAATTTATAAGTAAAGACTAAACACTTCTAACATCAAGCTATGCCATTTTTTGTATATTTATAGCTGTAATATGTGCAAATCTTTCAAAATCAACCCATTAAAGCAGCTGAAATGTGCCTCGCTGCGAGTGAGGGAATGAGACCCTTTACAGCTTAGACGTGTGGAAAAATATCAGCATTTTAAACAAGTCAGACAAATCCCTTTAGTGTCACGTGTTGGGGTTAGCCTGCTCTGCTACGTACCTTTATTATATCATGTCGCCCACATAAAATAAAATTACAGCGAAGTCGCGTTACGACGGGATGACTTTATTGTTGTAGTAAAATAAGTTTCACATTCCTGCAACATGTTGTTATAACGTGTATTTATCACATTTGTAAGATATTATCACTATGATAAAATGATTCAAACATACCATTGTCAAGTTATGTGACATCATGTGACATTGCTCTTATTGTATTATATTTTTTTGTAGGTTTCTATGTAGTGAATAAAGTCCCATGTGTTATTATTAGGCTAATATTGATTAGCTGTAGCAGTTGTAGATGCTTGTCTGATATCTACTCTCTGAAACTTTCATCCAAATCCATCCATCCCATCCGGGCTCCCTCTGATACTTTAAATGAAAAACTTTCTTCCTTGCTGTTGAATCCCCCATGGTGCACTTCTTTATTTGTGGAACAACACATCCGCTTATTACTGTTTTCATCTCCTGGTTGTGAGATGTTTACTCCATGACTTCTCCTCTCAAACTGGCCTCTGAGTCCTTCTCCCAAATCTAATATAGCCATCCATAAATAGCTCACCTATTGAGCCCATTTTTGGGTTGAGCGACGGCCCACCGAAGCCAATCAGGTTCGTGGAATTCTCTAAAGCCCGCCTCTGCACGCGCCGTCGGCGATCTAATAACCCTTCCTCCGCCCACTCGCCATAAATGGACAAGCAAAGGGAGTTGATTGACAAATAAAAACCCGCCCCTTCGTTTTAACAAGCTCCGCCCCTCGCTCAGCTCCCCTATCAGTGGTTATTTTGGCAACGCGGATACGCATGGAGTCTCCATCACCTGCACTCTCCTTTTACGCACCAAGTCCGGTTATGCGCGCAGGTACACGGACCCTAATTGCCTCATTTCCTGCCGCAGCCGCACCATTAATCACCTACTAAGGACTAATATGAAAGAAGTGGATTTAGAGGTCTGACAGAGAAGAGAAGGGAGGCACGTTTCCTGTGGATCACTCTTGTTTTCCAGCACCGAGCGTCAGCATGGATGTCTTGGCAAACCACGGTATCTTTCAGGAACTTCAGCTCGTCCACGACACCGGCTACTTCTCCGCCATGCCGTCGCTGGAGGAAAACTGGCAGCAGGTAACTTTATTGTTATTATGGTTAAGAACAATCGCTCATATTCACACGGGCAACTTCCTGAAATGCGAGCGACCAGCGATGCGTAATAATAAAGCTGTCAAACGGAGGAGATCCAGATCTCATAATGGAGACCGAATTGATCGTGAATAATACATTAGTATCCCTCAGATTACTGTTGAGCACATTAGTCCCCTCTCTTATTCATAATAAATACCCGACATGTAGGCTTTTTATGAAAATTTAGTCACCAGCGTGTTTGCATCTATGTTTTCCCTGCTCACAAGCGCTCTTCAAACATTTCGCTTCGGTCTTTTTGGATTCAGAGAAGTATGAGGCGCAGATTTACGCGAGCACATGGTGATGGATGGATTTGGAGACGCACTGGCTCTTTAAATTCACATAATCACGCTTAAAACGCACCCATTTTATTCTAGTGTCTATTTTAATGAGAATAACAGACACCTCAAGGCACAAAAGGGTGTTTATTTTCAAATTAACGCACTTTTGCGCCGATCAAACTGATTTTGCGGCTTTTCCTCACCTGTCAATCCCTCTTCTCCCCTTCTCACTTTCATTTTTGTACGTTTTAAGAATTTTCTGTTGAATTTGCTGGAATAAAACAACGAGAAAAAAGAAAATAAGGGGGGGGGGGGGGGGAGATCAATGCATGGAAATTTGATGCCGTTATTGTTCGTGTAACAGTGGCTTCAGTTTTTTCCCACTTCAGTGCTCCACATGAGGGGGAAGAGGAGGGTGGAGGAGGGGTGAGACGGAGAGAAACCGGTGCGTGACCGCGGATCTCTCCATCGTGGCCGAGCAGCCTAATTGGCATCCTACTGTTAGCCACCGACGCATCTTTTCATAGCAAGTCTCAAACTCCCTGGCTCGACTGTCAGGGATGGTTTTTAATTTTAAATTGCGCTGGTGTACCATATGCAGTCTGTTTCTCACCCACAGCCTGCATATCAAAATCAATACCTAATGCAAATGTAAAAGGGAGACAGCTGCGTGTGTAGGCCGGGATAGCCTTGAAGACGGGAAATGTCAGGTTTCTCTGCTGGTTTGAGGCACATTTTTCACACAAAGGATTTTAGACAAAACTGGTGATTTTAAAGGGATGGGCAACTCTAACTTAAAGCTTTTAACCATCAAAATGTTCAATACAGTTGCCAAAATCAAACAGTAGTCAGTTAGATGGGTATAGACTGATACTGTCGGTGAGTAAAATGTCTTAATAATTCACCCGAAGGACATTCACCTTTTGTGGTCAACTGGATGCAAGATGGCCACCTTAGTTGTGGCTAGAACACAGTTAATGATGTAACCAGGTATAAGACATGCACTTTGTAAATCCAGGTTGCTTTTATTTCACTTTTCTGGTTGTAATACTTGTTTGTGTCAGAGAGTGGCGCTATTCCCAGGTTTAGAGGTAGAGATTTCCAGAAGAAGAAGACAAAGCCTTGTTCCAGCCATAGGCCCAATCCCAATACTTGCACTGGGCCCTAAGGTCTTCTGTGAAGTGCACTTGGAGGAAGTGCTCAGTAAGGCTTCGAGTGCGTGGTACAAACGTGTGCCAATAATTGCCAAAGTGGGACAGGGAGCATTGCGTCATCGACTGCAACGCACGCCAGGATGCTGGTTGCCGTGAGACTTTTTACATTATTTGAAATAAATTTACATTCATTGCTGCTTCATCTAAGACATTCAGAGCATCAACTAATCATCCTAAAAACTACTTTCATTTGAACATACATGTTTTGAAAAAAGGCACTAGAGCCTTTTCTCTCACAGCAATGGATTGTGGGTAATATCCTTCTTCCAAGTCCGCATCGATGTGGTCTTGGCTGAAGTGTGTATCAATGGTGCAATAGGAGGGTGTTCAACATCCGCACTTGAGAATTAGGACATGCTATGCACTCGCGGTTGTGGAAGTGCGAGTTTTGGGATTGGGTCATATCATGCGTTCCAGTTGTCCTCGGAATTTCTGAGCAGGAAATGACGTAACGGGCTCGGTTTGCGTTCCAGCTTACAACTCAGAAAAAAATGGATGCCACAAGTGTTGTTGAGTACTAAACCAAAATAAATATATAACCAAGTAGTCTCCACATCTAAATAATAGGCACACACGCACTTCGACATTTGCCACATTCAGCCAGAAAAACATTACAAATCAAATGTTAAAATATAAATGCCAGGAAAAGTAAAAACCATAAACTACGGTCAATGTTAACATTTTCAACAGTGTAACTATTGATAACAATAATAAACAACTTACCGGTGCTGTTAAATAGCAAAAAGAAAGAAAACAAAACATAAAAATGAGAAAACAATAAAGACAATAACTACTTCCTGGTAGCACTAGGCACAGCCATCTTTACATTTGGGATCTCGGGGTCCTCTGAAACCTACGAGCTCATAACTCAGAATTCCGAGTTCATTGCATAATTTCCGGCTAACTTATGTCGGAAAAACGAGTTCCAAGGACAACTGGAACGCACGATTAGACATGAGTATGCCCCATTGGGTGTTGGAGAGCATAACAGCATCGTTGCCATATTGGTTGGGTCCCTCACTCTCCAAACCCAACTGGCGTCAACGCAGAGTGTGCAACAATGATAAATGACCCGCACTTGTATAGCACCTCTCAGAGTAAGGATTCCAAAGCACTTTACACTACAGTGTATCATTCTTCCATTCACACACACATTCATACACTGGTGGTGATGAGCTACAGTGTAGCTTATCATTGTTTAAAAAAAACAACATTCCCCCATTTGATCCCCAGTGAATCTTGGCATAGGGAATTCCAAAAAGGATACACCACAACAGTCTTTCAAATTTGGAGAAAAGAAGGTCACATTTGTGGACAGCAGTGGGGGGAGCCACCAAATTTAGCCTTGCACTTTCTTGTGATGTAATTTTTAGTGTGTACCTTCAAGGTGCATTATGAAGAAATAAAGTAAAAACGACATGACCACTTGTTTTACCATCTATTTTCTATCAGAAACTAATGCAGGAAATTGGAGTAGGAGACTATTTTCACATACATTCGCCATGTTAAACTTTGAGCAACTGATCGTTTTCAAAAATAATAATTAAAAAATCGTTTCTTAGTGAACCTGCTCTTAAAAAGAAATTCTACTTTATCCTACCATATTGTATCAACTCACATTGTATTTCCTGCCTGAATCAGTCTGATCTATTAGCGTTTTTACATTTAATTTAATAAATATACTCTTTGTTGTGACTTCAAAGTAACGCATTCGCAATTAGCTCACTAATGTTGGCATTTATATTAAAACAACGCACCGGATTATCCCCACACAGGGTGCAATGACGAGCTAAAGAAAAAGAGTGGTACACCTTTTCATACATCCTCACTCACAGCTTCTATTAAAAGCTTTGTCTTTTCTATCCGCATTGCATGAAGATTTTTCCAGGATTCCTGATCTAAAATAGGACTCGACTTAAAAATAAACAGACCATTGAAATCAGCGTAAATGACTGTTTAAGCATCAGTTTTGACCCATTTTTGTGTGGTAGATTCTAGAAAAACCTATCCTGACCTTCCAAGTAGGTCCTATGGAATAACTGAATTTAAAGAAAATAGACTAAAAGTAAGCAGAAACAGTCAAGTCCTGCAGCTTTGTCTTTGAACACTGTTCTGAAGTCATGAAACCATCAAAATCTTTTTGCTCTTGTCAAATATTGTTGCTCCAGGCTATTTTCCTCACACACACACACACACACACACACCAAAATGATACCACCTGTAGTGATGAAACAGCGGTCTTTGGCACCTTAAGATAAAACTCGAATTGTGTTAATAAAGCACTATTTCTAGTTTGGAGCCTTTTTCTTAAAAGGATTCAGTCTTTGTGGCCTGCTGCAAGTCACAGAAGTAAATATCTTGAAGTAGATTTTCTTCCTGAAAACCAACCCTTTGGATAAAAAGATCACACTGCTTCCTTGTGAGCATGAGGATTATGATTTGCCCCACACCATGAAATCCTCTCTCCCCGTGCAGTTCAGCTATGTTCTTGGCAAAGCGGTCATTGTGCTCATTGTGGTGGGATGAAGATGGCACAAGCCCTACTGAATGCAGGAATTATGAGTTGCAGCTCGCCTTAAAAGCTTTGTTTCCTGCGGAGGACCTCGTGTCTTCAGCGGCCCCCTCTGTATTCCGGGCACAATTTAGAAACTGATGCTTTTATGGCTTCGATGGGAAGATAGGAGGCCGTTGTAGTGGGCTCCTAAATGGGTCCCTGAGACGCGAAGGCAAGAATGATGACTGTGTCCCCAGTTGGTGTCTGTGAGGCATGATTCAGCCCGTTATAGGGGGATGGGGAGGGGAGAAGCAGCAAAGTGTTTTGGAGGTCTGCAGATGGTACATTTGAGGCTGCTATTTGTTCCATTATTGAAGCTAATAGTGCCAAACTGAACTGTGCTGTCTGGCTTCCAAATCCCCGTACAGTTGGATGTTCAGATTTGGTTTGGAACAAACAGCAGGACTGAGCTGGATTTGGAACCAGCAGAGCGGGGCGAGATTCACTCTTTATGTGTGGAATCCAGTTTCCCTTGCAACACTGTGTGTGTGCGTGTGTGTGTGTTGCTTTGCGTCTTCGGACTAAGAAGTGGCTTGTCATCTTGGCTGCAATTTCCTCTGCTTGTTATTCTCTTTTGTAAACTGACATTTGCTCAGACCAAGGCTCAGTTTTCACTAGGCTGCAACTGTTGATGTCTTCTTGAAGACAAGGCAATCACCTTGAACTGGTACCTGACACATTTATGACTAGGTTTTTTAATTGGCCAGGTGAGGCATGTTCGGGACAGTGTCCTTGTCTGGTCGCCAACCTTTCTCAGTGTGGTTTTGGACTTTGTATGTAGCTAGGATTGGGACAATATTACAAGTAACCTGTACCAAATTTTGTAACTTATAACACCCCATCATGATAAATGACCCGCACTTGTATAGCGCCTCTCAGAGTAAGGACTCCAAA